CATACTGATGTGGTTTGACCACACGCCTGTGGTCACAAAGCATTCACGGTACATCCCATCCAATTAGAGTTTGAGCCGTGATGCCCATCCCTTCATCCAGCCTCCTGCTCTTTGCTTTTCCTTGAGAAAAGGAACAGACACAGACAATTGCCTACCATTAACACACACGGTCTCACACACTCGAATGTAGCACCAAAAGGGACAAGCACTCAAGTCCGCCTTCTCTTTTTTCAGAGTCCTATAATATATACAGTAAACACATGTCTTGCCCCATACAGGAGCTGAAACTATGGCAACAGAGTCACATACGAATTGTGCCCCTTGACAATTATATGAAAGACAAGACGGGTTTCAGTGTGCTGGTCTGAGAGGAGAAGAGGAGGGGCGGCCATCTTTTCCGTTTTATTTGCTTTTGTTTAGGAAAGAATCCATTGAGTGATATTTGGTGTGATGCCAAATTCTCTCCTTCACAGACAGGCACAAAGTAAACTGGATTAGTCATTGAGACGCTTTTCTCCATCAATGACAACCAAGGAGAACTGAAAACTTCAAACGCATTGAGGAAATTCCTACCTAAAAAGCAACAGTGTATTCAAATGGAAATGCCTTTATCATTACTCTCGGTAGGCTTCCATAGCTTTCTGACTGTATGTGCTGTACATGTGAACAGAATGCCGGATTAAAGGGGTCAAGAGGTTGATTCAAAAGGGAGATTTCTTTCTCGTTTTGTTTAAGATTTTCTGTCTTTAAGGATTTTGGTTTCCTTACCATTGCTGTCTGAGAGCCATTTAAACTTTAAGTGTCTTATTGAACCTTTTGAGTATTTTGGAGACAGACATTAGTGATCTTTTTTCACACAGCACTGCAGCTGTAATTTTAACCCAGTGCAATCAAACCAGTAATTTAAGAATGATCTTAAAACTCAATTTCTTCTGGTGCAGTTTGCTTCCTCTCACTGTCAAAATACATTTTAGGTTAACTGGACACTTAACCCTTTAAAGCCTGATCCAAAAAGAAAACAAAACAGAAAAAAAAATTGGTTTGAATTCCTTAGTTGGCCTTTTAACAAAATATGTAAAAAGAAAAAACAGAAACACATTTTGGATATTAATAATTTATTACCATGCGATAAGTCAAGATTATTTTTTGTGTGGTCTTCTGCGCCCTGTTATCAGGTATAACTGATTGTGTACAATAGGATTTTGAGCAAAGATTTTACCATCAAATTATGCAAAAGGTGTCAGACGCAAAACACTTCAGAAACCGTATGTATCAAATTTGATACATTTGGCATTGCAGGGTTAAAATAGCCGGGTAGAGGGAGTGTGCATGGTTGTCTATCTCTCACTTTTTTGTGTTTCTCTGTGATTGCCCGCCAACCTGCTCTGTGTGTTCCTCATCTCTAACCACCTCCTGCTACCCTACGAACAATTAATAACAGTATAGAAGATGGATAGAGTTACGGATTTCAACTTCCTTAGATATATTATAATATAGTGTTCTTAAATATACAGTAATTGCTTTCAGACCCGCAGCTTCACGGCTCCACCACAGAAACACATCCACTCACACACAGGCAGCTCCACACACACTGACACACATCCAGTATATATTCAAGTTTTTTATTTCACTCCTGGTGAAATCCAAATCCAATCCAGAGTCATTAGACTGTCAATCCTTTATATACTATAAGGGAGCTGAATACACACATAAATAGTTTTTACTCAACACTTTCCCTTTTTTACGACCCAGCTGCCGATGCTCTGTGCTGGTGCTCTTGAGAATTTCTCCCCACATGTTGATGAATGTGTGTTTACATGGCAAATTTTGAGCCCTGTCGTACAGCCCGGGCCGCGATTGTGAACTACTGTTTATCCAAGCCCAGTGGAGGAAAAGCTTTCATCTGCTCTGCCACCATAAAATAAAGCTCAGCGCCGCACTCGAGCTGCTGGACAACCACAATAAACTCTCAGTAGATCCCGGCCGTCAGGAGAGTCAGGATCTGCTGTCACGTGGGAGATGACTACAAAGACTAGTCTCTGTTTATTTGGGTTCATTTTTACATGGAATGGCAGGAAATACATTAAAAATGGTTTGCATTGCTTTGATTTAAGTGCTGTAACACAGTAACACACCTGCTGGTGAAAGAGGATTAAAGAGGTGGAAACAGCACCAGATAAACTCTTTAGCTTTCATGGCATAACTGATCCTGTTTGGTTTTAGTCTGTGTCAAATGCTTTAAGTTGTGTCGAATGTTTTATCTTCAAAGTAGCCGTTATCATGTTAATCAACCACAAATGACGAGTGCAAGTGAGGCAGGAGAGCAGCAGGTTTAAGGCAATAACCAAACCCTTCTGTTGTTTGGTGGTCGGAGTTGGTTTAAAATAAGTTCTATCATTAAAATAAAAAGATGCCACACCTAATAGTCTTTAAGTGGCCTGTCTCGTAATTCAGATAGGGGGAGTTTGGCTGTGTGGAAGTGATGCAGGACATCCACCCAGACTGAAAAACTCATCTGCTCTCCATCACATCCCTCACCACGGCGGCCATTTGTGCATGCTTTTCTATCAGGAGCAGAGCAGAACAAAAGGGTACCTGGCAGCTCCCCCGCCTGTAACTCTATACAGGGACATGAAACGTCGACCTTTGACCCCACGTGTGATACAAGTGACAGCGCTGTCCCACAGGTCAGCGCTAAACATGCCACGTACATTCCCAGCCTCCACCGCAGCAGCACTGCTGTGGCCTGTAACCGCCCCAGTGGTATGAACACTTCTGACATTTTTTTTTTGTGCTTCAGTGACTAAAATCCTCAGAACTGTAATGATAAGACTGATGATGCATTTGAGGTAGTTTGAAGAGTTTTCTCTCAGATAAACTCATGAATGGGAGTGCTTGTTTGAAATATGGTACAGTTTTATTAAAAATTTTCATTCGTCCGTCGAATCCTTAATGACTTTATGAACTGTGGACTTTTGACTGAAAAGCAAACCTTTTTCACTATGAAGGCCTGCATTGGGCATAACCAGACTTCAGAAGTTAAGATTCATTCGACGGAGGGTGAAGGAGTTTTTTGGCTCGTGGTGTAGTGAAACATTTAATCTTTACAAGAATCATACACACACACACACACAAATTGTTAGAGGAACAAATTTAATTGTCTCTTATAAAACTTTTCAGTCTGGTATGTCATTTTCGTATCTCAAAGGTTTATTGTACTAGTTTTCCCCCCAATAACCTACAATCTACAATGTCACTTTGTATTTTCTATTCTTAAAGAGTTTGGATTCGAAAACACAAATCCATGCAAAATGTATTTGTTCCTCCAAAAATAACTACTAACTTGACTGTTTTAATGATATTTCTTTGGACTTTTAAATTGCATAACTTAGCCTTTTTCACTGACCAACAAAAACCTTTTTGTCTCCATAATTTGAATGAGTACACAGCACTACACAGTATCGTAGAGTAGTGCGGATGTCTGCGCATTTGCACTACTCATGTCTCTAAACCATTAATTGAATTTGATATGGCTACCTTACCTATTTAAGTCATAAAGCAACAAATATAGCCTGTTTGTACCAATAACAGCTCACTAAATTCCTGTCAAACAAGTTTAGATTTTTTTCTCTAAACAGTTTAAGATCAGTACAGTTTCATTTCACGCTGTTAATGGCCCATTTATGGGATGAACCTCTGGCTAACAGTAAACACCCTCTCAGGTTTACGGCCGACAGCAGGCCTCAGTCCTGTGAGCGCTCTCTCAGCACGCCGCAGCAGTATGGACCCCGTAAACTGCAGGGGACGGATTCAGAGAATGAATTAATGGGCAGTCCTTAGCAGCGTCAGGTTTTCTACATGGCGGTAATGGCAGGGGGTGGGTGTGCGAATGGGTGAGGGGGTGGAATCACCTCCGACTACACTGACAGAAAAGGCGTGAAGTCCTGGAATGAGGGCCAGTTTCAGTTTGCATGTTGACTGACACAATGCAGCAGAAAGGGAGACAAACGCTTAAACAATCGCATGCATGCTTGCAGACACACACTCATACACGTGTACAGACATGTACACGCATGCTCTCCAAAGCCACTTTTAGTCACCTCAGTCCCAGTCCTTGTATTCCACATGAAAACTCATGTTGATTTAAATTTCCTTTTAAACGTAAAACAAGGTGAATCATTAAGAAAGAAATATGGTGAACACAAAGGTTTGATTTGAGTAATTACTTTTACATTTTAACTGACAAAATAGATTTTTATGAACAAATAAAAACAAAGTGGTGACCCCACACTGCTCTTCTTAGAGAAACAGCTTCAACACCATCATCTTTAGCCAACAGACAAAAACTAGAGTCTCAGCAGACGGGTCGACTGTCATTCACATTTTGATTCAGACTGGGTTTTTTATTTTCCTAATTATGGTACAAATTTGAAAAAACTCCTGAGTGATTTCTTCACAGTGCAGACAATTAAAGTCCCGCGGAGCCAAATAAAGACATGAACCAGGTGCTGGGAACAGGAGCTGAGCCTGAGGATAGGGAGTCAG